TTGGTGCTGGGGCGATTCATTCGCTGCTGTGACAATGATTGGAGTTTATTATATATGTGTGTGTGTGTGTGTGTGTGTGTGTGTGTGTGTGTGTGTGTGTTCATATACATATATAGACAGAGAGAGAGCGAGAGAGAGAGAGAGAGAGAGAGAGAGAGAGAGAGAGAGAGAGAGAGATATGGCACACTTTTTTTTCCTGCTATTACTATTTTGGGGCTTCCTAATTTTTTTTCTGGTTGTTCTTTCGAGTTAAATTTATCGTTATGTGATTATTTTTTTCATGATTGTCCTGCCCTGGTATGGGGTGTGTTAGTGCCCATGGCATGGGTAACTTGAGGAGCCGGACTTGGGCACCCCTGCCTTATAGGAAGGGAACACGCAGACGTGAATCAGCAAGGCGGGCAGCGCAGCATCTCGACATACATCACATAACTCCTACTCTGGCATCCCTTCAGTGGCTCACTGAGTTCTTTTTAGATCCTATTCATTGTTTTCAAATCTTAAAATTCCCCTCCCACTTTACCATCCTGCCCGGTGCCTCAGGTCTGCCGACCAGACATTATTAGATGGACTGACTAAGAACTAAGCGGAGGCTCAGAGTGGGTTCGAGCCTTTTCCGTTGCTGATCCCTCTCTTTGAATGACATCCCACTGAAAGTTCGGCAAGCCCCCTCGCTGCCCATCTTTAAAACTCGTTTCAAAACTCATTTCTATTCTTTGGCTTTTGACACAGCATGAGACTAGATTTTTTGTTTGACACACTTGACAGGTCGTCGACCAATCGCAGGGTACATATCGACAAACAACCACGTGCACACAAAGCACTTTCAATGAACCTAACATGAATGTTTTTGGAAAGTTGAAGGAAGAGCAAACTCCACTCGACTGTGCGGATGTTTTAAATATTAAAAAAAAAAAAAAAAATCCATGTTGAAATTCCTTATATCCAAGGAGATACATTACATTTTACACAAGGTCCCAACTTCATTGCAATTATTTTCTTTGGGTTTAGAGTCACAATCCAAGCCACCGTCATTTACATATAATACACGGGTCGATCCTAAATCTTGGTGCTGTCTGCTTTTTAGCAGGAACTTGGTCATAGACAATCCAACAAAAAACCGGGTCCTGTTAACCAAATGGCAAAATTCTTTAGGAAAAGTCCAAGTAAGATATATGAAGCTAAATTGGTGTTTCTAATCCTGTCATGTTATAAAACATTAGAATCACAGAAAACGCAATGATATTCCTCCAATCAGCATTAAAAGTATTTCAGAGAAAATATTGAATGCCACTTGAAAAATAACAACGGATTTCTTCTTCATGAAGGTTTGGGACTGAGGCCTAAGTGAAGATGCACAAGTCATGCAGGGTGAGATAAGTAGCTAAAAATAACATTGTGAAGGTCTGTTATTAGCGCTGTTAGTCCACATTGGGTGTCTGGAGGCGGAGATTAGTGTATACCTTTCATGAGGATAAAACTACTTGGGCCTCAGATGTTCCTTAAAATAACCCGAACCCCGACCTCTAAAAATTGATGAAAAGTGTAAAGCAACATTTCTGCGAAAAGTCGGAGTTAATGTGCCAAGCGCCACCTGCCTTCCTGTGTGTCAAAGTCAAGAAGCTCCTACTCACCAGTTGACCAACATTGCGGCATTGTTCCCGTATATAAAAGGAAGCTCTCCTTGGACGTGACGGACAAAGCAGTGGTTAAAAAGTGGTAAGATCCACCAAAGCACCATGTTCCTCTTCATTCCTCTGTTCCCAGTCCTGCTGGGATCCTTGCATCAAACGTGACTCTGGGGCAACCCAGGTCGGCGTCGCCTGGTGTCCGATCTCCTCCAGCAAATGAAGTTGACGGGCCTGCTGTCCGGCAGGTGGCCTGAAGTCATCAGGCTGTCAGAAGGTGCTGGTGATGGGGTCAAAAGACCAAAAGTTTGTGGGATCACCGCATCAAGTCATGGCAGGCGGCGACGTGGACAAGTGTAGTTCAGTGGGGCCAACCTGCAAAACAGCTCTCAGTTTAGCCTGGCATACAACCGTGCATTTGACTGATTTTCCCCCCCAACCCTTTTATGATTCAGCAAAGAAAAAAAAAGGAAAACCCTAACTGATGAAAAAAAAAGATGTGCTGTCCCCCACCCCTCCCACCTATCCCCCTTCCATCCTCCCAGCGTAGCGAGTGATGCGTTCTATTGCTCAGAACGTGCTGAGGTGTGCACTGGCGTCACTGCTCGGAGATCATGCCTCATGTAGATTGGCATGGCTGAGTGGGCGGGGCGCGGAGCTCTGTGAGGATCCCGGGACAGGAAGGCTAACCATTCCACGGCTGTTGCCACCCTCCCCCTTCACTGCCACTCTTAGTCTTACTGACGGCAGGATGCAGATTGTAACCAGGGATTAGGGTGCTTCAAAAATCCGATTTTGCCTGGAGAAAGCCTCGCGTATTAATGTGCGGGTGTGTGCGTGCGTGTGCTTGCGAGAGGGAGAGCGCATGGTTCAGAGCTGTTTGTGCTTGGTTGGTCTTTGTGTGCTCTTTCATAGTTGACTCGTGCCTGCAATCGGGAACTCCTCTTGGCACGTAGTTGGTTTAAGCCTCAAATGCAATCTTCGCTCGTTGAAATGAAAATTGAAACCCCCGCCCCCAAACAAACCCGCCCACTGAGTCCTGCCTTCTGTGGTTTTTGCTTGATGTCCCTTGCATTGTCATAACAGTTGATATAATCTCATCAAAATCATTCACAGCGCCTCATTTGAAACTTCACGTTAAGAAGTGATCTGCTTCATCACGCTGTATGTCGTTTTCTTTTAAACCCGACCTCATTTTTGGCTGCACCAACACCCGCGATTATTGGTGGCAATCCTTTCTTCTCTGCTATTTGGAGAAATGAAACCACGTTGCATGCTTGTGGTCACAACTTTCCAACATTTCTGCCTCCTTTTTCTGTCAAGGAAACAAGCCGCTTAATTTGAAAGGAACATCATAGTATTTTTTTTTCATTGGGACAGTGCACATTAATCACCACAAGAATAAACAGTGTAAATGCGCCGGACTTAGCATAAATGCTAATTTTCAGCCGCAGTCCCAAGGCAGGTTTCTAAAATAACACAGTGAGATACACAAACACATGTACCAAGTATGCATGTGCATGTTCGTTGAATTGCAGGCAACATTGGCTCTAATTGTCGAAGTGTCTGAGCAGTCACACAAACACCCTGAGCGTTCCTTAGAGCACGGTGAGCAACATGATATGCACACTGCGGCTAAGCCAGTATCACACATCCGTCCAACACCTGAGATCGTAACAAGTTACACAATATAGGTCCAGTATGTTCCCAAAAAAAATTAAACCACCTATTTATCAAAATAGAGCAGGGGTGTCAAATTCATTTTTTGTCGCTCGGAGTGACGGCTTCCCTCGGAGGGCCGGTGCAAAATCTCATCGTTATTTATTACCCATGACAATTCAACATTTCGGTACAGATTTCAGCAAGAATCATGATCGTTGACACACATGATTCGCTGCCGTGGGCCACATAAAATGACGTGGGGGGCCGGATCTGGCCCCCGGGCCTTGACTTTGACACCTGTGAAATAGATCATACCAATGAATCGAGATTTGTAACACATATAAAATTGGCCCTAGTTTGAACACAAATCGGTAAAGGACAAAGTATTTGTAGCCAGATTTCAAACTTGAAGACAGCACAGGCTCAGTGTGTGGAACAAAGTAGAATGTAAATTGTCAACACAGTGCCTAGTCCAAAGCTATATAAGAGCGCCCCCTTATCCTGACATGGCTTGCCTTCATACCTGTCAAATATGATAATTTCCCTAGCATGGTTTAGTGTGGAAAGTATAAATTAGCCCGAAAGTGGCATAAATGTGAGTAAAAGAATTTGCTCACGATTCAGGTGTCAATAAATGTATCATTTGTCTGTTGTGGAGTATTGTTCTGTAGCACGTCGAAGCAAAAAATATCAATTTTCAAAACTGTTTTGGGTAAAATGGCCCATTATGGTTCTTGTCACCTTTTATCAATAATTGCATCTGTATTTTTTTTTTTTGTCAGGTCTTTGCAATAGATGGCCCGCACTGTGAGTCAGTTATTGTTGAGCATAACTGAGTACAATATGTTCAAACCAATAAATCACACACAGTCTGTCGATAATGTTTGTGTCATGTTCCGTATTTGACAGCAGGTGGCAGGCATTCATTCTGCCGCCTGCACACCTGTTGCGCATTTGTTCTGTATTACACCTGCTATATCTAGGCGCTCCGGCTGTCAACTCATTGCCGGAGTATTGCTTGCCGTGCCACTGCTATTGCCCATGCTCGTATTTCGTATTCGTACTCTATTGCTGTTTGCTACTATTTCGTCATCCCAGTGGGATTATCTTTAACGCATAGTTCTTCGAGTAAATTGTCTTATCTTTTCCTTGCCGTTTTTTTGCAAGCGCTTTCTTTTTCTCACGTTACATTATTTCCTGGTTCTCGTTTTGACCAGCGTTTTGTGTTTTCCTTTAGACGGTGTTTTTTCGTTTGTAATAAATATTATTTGTTTAGACAAGACCTTGTCAGTGCCTGCTATTTCGGGGATCCACCTACTCTTGTTCGCTCTGTTGCGTACGAAGCAGTTCTTTCTTTCTGCCTAGTACGCCAAGTGACAGTTTGGGGGTACTCACTTTTCTGTGTCCGCATGTTTTGTTTCGTTTTATTCATTATTCTTTGTTTCCTCACAGGTCAGTATACAGTGATGATGGCTCACTTCTACCTGAAAAGGAAGATTGGCTATTTTGTCATCCAGACGTATATGCCATGTTTCATGACTGTAATCCTGTCCCAGGTGTCATTTTGGCTAAACCGAGAATCGGTTCCCGCACGGACAGTTTTTGGTGAGCGAAGGCGGCTCACACAAAAGAGACTCACAACAGCAGGCAGCTTGCAATCTCACAATTGAAAAACATGACACCTTTGCTTGCAGGGGTGACCACAGTGCTGACTATGACCACCCTCAGCATCAGCGCCAGAAACTCCCTTCCTAAAGTGGCCTACGCTACAGCGATGGACTGGTTCATTGCCGTCTGTTATGCTTTTGTCTTCTCGGCCCTCATCGAATTTGCCACGGTGAACTATTTCACCAAGAGGAGTTGGGCATGGGATGGCAAGAAAGCTCTGGAAGCACAGCACCCAAAGGTATCGCTTGTTCACATTTGCAGGGCAACATTCAGGGTCTTCATTTTGATGGGGTTTAGGACTGGCCAGTAATTCAAAATCGCAAGGGCCGCCAACCATTATTATGAATCGCCATTATTTCGTTACCTTTCCAAACCATTTTCTCACAACATGCCCAACATCCTCAATCGCAGAGCTATGATGATTTTGTAATCTTCACTGGTGCACTGCAAATAGCTGTTAAACCTCGAAGTGTGTTTGGTATCATGTCAATGGAGAAACTGATAGTGATTATATCGTAATTCATGGTCATCTTTGAGTGCAGCTTTTAGGAAGTTAATACTTGCTTTCCAAATTGCACGAAGGCTGCTAGCTTTTCATTTTACCACAAATATACACACGCAGGCGGCACGGTAGTAGATTGTTTAGCATGCCTGGTTTCCTCCTAAATTCCCAAAACATGCGGGGCAGGTTCATGAAACACTCTAAATTGTCCCTAAGTATGAGAATGAGCGTGGAATGGTTGTTCGTCTTTGCGTGACCTGTGATTGGCTGGCAACCAGTTCAGGGTGTACCCCGCCTACTTCCCGAAGACAGCTGGAATAGGCTCCAGCACCCCCCGCGACCCTTGTGAGGATAAACGGGTTAGAAAATGGATGGATGGATGGATGGATGGATGTACACACGCCACCTTGCTTAGCATGCATGTGTGCATCTGAACTCAAATAGAGGGGATGTTGCACTTGTAAGGACGTTGGAGCCAATTCAACACCCCATATTTGACCTCATTTGCTTGTCTGCCGGACCAATCGGTGTGTCACCACGGGGAAACCAGCATCTTTAGCGCATCACGAAGCTTTTATCTGTCACGCTGCAGAAACGAGACCCCGTGGTGCCGTCGAAAAAATCCAACAACGTTTGCTCAGCAGCCGTCCACTACACGCCGAACCTCACCAAGGACATCTCAATCTCCACCATCTCCAACACGTCGGTGCAGCTGCGAGCCTCTGAGGTAAAGATGCTGGACCCCAAGAAGACCTACAACAGTGTCAGCAAGATCGATAAAATGGCCCGGATCGTGTTTCCTGTTCTTTTTGGAACCTTCAACCTTGTCTACTGGGCCACGTATCTGAACAGGGAACCAGTGATTAAGGGAGTTGTTGCCTCACCCTAGTCTTATTTTTGAACATTCAAACACACGTTTTTTTGACTGAAGTTCATCCTAAAGGTAAAAAGACAATAACTGCTTGAAAATTTCCAAGTACTCTTTGATGGCTGCTGGACTACTGTGCTGTTTTTGATGGCCCAAAAGTGCCGCTTGACGGCAATAAACTGTTGGTGCTATTCTTCTCGCTCATCCGTCCTGCTGCGGTTCGCATGACGCACTCCTTCGAACATAATGTATATGCCAGTCACAGCTTCAAGCACAGGAGTGCGCCATTGCTCTTACTTGACAAAGGTCTCTCCGTAATATTCGAGGTCTTTGCAACTGAGTGTCATATTGTGGTTGCCTCGGATTAAATAGCCTGAGATGTTCTGTGCAAACCTACAATAGACTGCAGGGAAACTGCCGTACAACATTGCATTTGGACTCAAATCCCTTGGACCTTATATACTGATAATTTGCTCTTTTTTGTTTGCTTTTGAAGTTTTTTTTGAGCGGAGGCAGTTGGGGGGGATTAGTAGTGGGCACATTCGTGCGTGGTCATCTTGATTTGGACATGTGAACCCTTCCACAGTAGATCTGGTTATCCAGTGGCAACATTGCTGGGGAGGTAACAGGACAAAAATGTGTGCGGAGGACTATCATTGCAAGGGATTTCTGACAATTTAAATCATTACCTCGGGATATAAGAAGACTCTTCTCCCATACAACTTTAAAAAGGCTTCGTTTAGGACAGGACAACAAAAATATGAAATGATGTCTCCGGCCCACTTTCACTGGATGACTGAACAGTCGTGGATGATGCGTTCGGTACAAATTTCCCACATATGGGCTAAATTAAATTTTAGCCTGCATAGCTAAAGCAGGGAGTGAAAGTCAGTTCACAAATGAGTCCTCCAGACTTGGTTGTCCAGCAAGGTTGATGCTGAGACCTTCAGTGTGTATTACAAGCCCGGCATACTGAGCACTCTCTCCTAAGTCCCGTATTCTCAACAAGCTTCAGTTTCCCCAACATCTCGCCCTTTTCCGCTCATGTAAATCTGCAAAAGTAAAAATAAGTGAAGTAATCCAACACAACACCAAAGAGTTGTTTTTAAAGCTCCTCAATGCGGGCGAGAAGGAAAACTGCTGCTTTGGCTGAGTCTTAAGGCTGTGTTTTTCAATTTGGGGGAAGTGATTGATCGTGTCAATATATTTCTGTTCAATTTATGTTTGATGTCTCCGTTTTTATGTTTGTGCATGAACTCTTTTGGCAGCTGTTAAACTAAAATGCAGTTTTCTGTTTTATTCCCACTGTCAAAGCAGTGGTACAGCACTTTGACAGCAGGCCACTGTAACACAGTTTTGAGCCAGAGTTATCTAAACTCAATGACACAGCCTGCCTCTTTGCTCAATTAGTATTAAGTGATTTTGGTTCGTTGTCAATGGGAATTTTCTGCTGATGAAAAGATGATGGCCTGCAGCGCCATATCAATAAAGATGACCTTTGCTGTACCTGCTTCGCTTTGTAACTCTACAACCGGCTCCTTTGTTTCTTTTCAATGGAACCTGCCTTTTGTAGAAGGTTCTGTCAGAAACATGATGAACAGCAGGTGTCAATCAATGAATGATTTGACAAAGCTAATGTGAAGCGTGAATTGAAACTCCAAAGCGAGCCCATTCAGCCTTTCCGATGCAGCAGAGCAGATGCAAGATTTTTATGGTTGAACTACATTAGGTGGATACCCCGTCGGCCAACCACTGAGTTTCATCAAAGTTTGACGTTGACGAGGAGCAGCTAAGGCTCTGCTGCCATTTGAATGAGCAAAATGTCACATATCGATAGACAACTAGGTGGAGGTTACACCATTTACACACATACTGTGTGTACAATAAAATCTACTGTAGTAAAAAAATATATACTGTACTAGAATTGATTCCACCAAAAACAGTGGTAATTGGAATCGCTGATTTTTAAATTCAAACTTTTTTTTTCTTTTTTCTGCTCAAAAAAAAAGGAATGAGTGGAAATGAAATAAATGAAAAAGAATAAAACAATCTGGACAAGATATAGGCTATCATAGAAACAAGAAATACAAGCAATAGTAATAAGCCATTTTCTCCTCTTCTGAGACTGGCTATTTTGGCCGATAATAAGTTCCTCGTAATCAATAGCCCCCGTAGGATTAACTTCCAATAAAGTATTGGGAAAACAGGTTGTCATTGTCATGTTGGGGCCGTGTTTGCAGCTGCTGAATGTAACTCAAAACTAACTTGGAATATGACTTTCTCTCATAGCCATCCATCCATGCATTTTCAGCACCGCTTATCCGGAATAGGATTATGGGAAGGGGGGGGGGGGGCGGGTACTGGAGCCTAACCAATGCTGTCTTTGGGCAGAAGGCAGACTAAACCCTGAACTGGTCGCCAGTGAGCCGCAGGGCACATATAGAGACGACCAACCATTCACACTCACATGCACACTGTCACTGAGTGGGAACCGATCCCATGCTGCCCGCACACAAGTCAGGCGAGTGTACCACGACACCTCAGTGACATGTCTCATGACCAACTAACTGGTAAAGTAAAGATTTTGTTACTTTTTCAGAGTAACTGTGGCAACACTCTGGATTAGTGCCAGAAATTGGGGTAACAGTTAGTTTTGATCAGTGCATACAAGAAAGCGTACGGGTAGGTGTCAATTGATATTTGGCTTGTGAGTATTCACACAGCTGCATGCTCTTACAAAGCTGGCAATGGACAGTGAAGGACAATTGTACAGTGCTGCCATAGCAACCCTGACATGAACATCATTCAAGACTATACGTTTGGCAGCAAATCTGTTGTTGTTGGCTAATTTGAGTTTGGTTTCATGTACAGTATTGATTTAAATTCATGAAAAGTTATTAGAAAAATATTGGAAGCATGAATTCAGGGAATCCTATATTGCACAATTTATGTTGACAATAAAACTTGTGATGTTTTTCTATATTTACAATCATAAAGAGCATCAAGATATCATTAATGACATGCTCCACTCATATTTTATCATCATCTTCCCTTCTGCACAATAGCTACTGCTCCAAAAATATCAAAACCTTCATCAGTCTAGTTGTTGAACAACAGAGCACTGACAAAACATGACATTCAAGAGATGTGAATACAGTCAGTATGTACTGTATAACTTTTTCATCCTCGGTTTTTTTCAGTGAGGAAGCACGCTGTTGTATTTTTAACTGCGCGAAATCAGTGTCGTTTCTTAAATGAGTTTGACGTGCATGTCCTCACAGTTTTTTCTTCTTCTACGAATCGAAAGGTTACTTTGTTGGCTTTTGTGTTACATTTGAACTGTGAGGGCTATTTTTCGAATCGCACGCTTGTCCTCTAGAGGGCAGCAAAGCCTCTAAACTGCTTGCAACACTGCCCACTATGTGCAGGTTTGTGGACAGTGTTGCAGGCAGTTTCGTAGATGATGGCCTTGTGGCAACGAAAACGACCCTAAAATGACTTCAAAGGACAATCATCATTACTCATCATCCAGGAGACAAAGCAGTGTTTGTGTTGTACATACAAAACTAATTCATACGCTTGCAACATAATGGACGCTTTAAAAACGGTCCACTTAACATAAGATGCCACTTTGATTAATTAGCTAATTTCGGGTTTTTTTTTTTTGTTTTTTTGGGGGGAGGGGACAACGCAAACAAAACAACACCATTGCAGACATAAAGTGCATCACTCTTACAACACGTCTGCAATCTTTTCGTTCTGATGGAAAGCAGTTGAAATCCAAGTTAGGCGTGTGCGCG